AGATTCACATAGTGGAATATATATAAAACACATAAGAAATATGTCGTTGAAAGACAGAATATTTGGGTTAATTATTTTGGACATATACCAAGAGACCACATGTTATATATTAATTATTATTATTTCAATATAAAAATATAATATATATATATATATATATATATTAATATTATATCTCAATCTATTTATCTCTCTCTCTCTCTTTCACTAACTCTCACTCTCTTTTTACAACCCTTTTATCTATCTATTTATCTCTCTTTCTTCTTCTTCTTGTTCTTAAGAGAAGAGAGTCTTCTGAAAAACGGACTATAGTATGTTATACGTAACTAACACATAAGTATATTATGTTTGGGTGGGTGTCGTTGATGAAAGCATTTAAAGTACGATGACGTTGGTTCGTTTGCAAAAGTTCTCTTATAGAACACTAAAGCTTTCTTTCTCTTTCTCTTTCTCTCTCTCTCTCTCTCTCTCACTTCTGGAGATTTTGGAGGCTGTGTCTCTCTCGTCGTTCGAGAGGTCGACTCGATCTCGAAACCGCAGCAGAGTGCGGTTACGCGTAAAGAACAAGCTGAGAAGGTAACACGATATACCTCGTACACTCGTGCTTGTGGTTTTGTTACGCTCGCGCATTTACGAATCTCTTTCTTTCTTTCTCTCTCTCTCTCTCTTTGTTTATTTCTATCTTTATTTTTATTTATTTCTCTCTCTCTCTCTTTCTGACTCTCTCCTTCTTTTGTTGATTTCTATTCTCTATTTTAAACGCGTTGCATTATTATTAGTTTTTAAACAATGTCCCCTCCTCTTTCTCTCCGTTATTCTTAAATTTTATATTTTTTCTTATTATTTTTATACAAAGTCATTTTTGTATAAGAATTTTTTGTTAATAATAATACGTCAGGATATATTATACGTAATTCCCTATGATCCAGATAATACATTCTTCCCCCCCCCTTTTTTTTCTTTTTTTTTTTTTTATTATAATGTTATCTTGATTTTTCTGTTTTTGTTTCTTTTTCTTTTCTTTTTTTTATATAACTCGTATTATAAATATTAGTTTCAATAATGTATTTACTTTTTCTATCTATCTCTTTCTCACTCTGTATTATAATTCATATAATCTAGTTATTTCCTTTTTTTTTTTTTTTTTTTACGACGTCTACGTAATCACTGTCCTGTTTTGCTTTTTTTTTTTTCTTGCAATATAAATTGTAGCATTATTTCTTGTGCAATTTTGCGCTAATTACTAGTATAACTACTTTGTGTATCATAACTTTAATTAGTTACAATGTAATTGTTCAGGTATATCCTGGTGTATCCTTGGTTTAGTTTAATAAATTTGATTCCTTTTTTCTCTCTCTCTCTCTCTCCTTAGTGTTTCTAACTTCAACGTATAATCTTTAATAAATATCAAGTTTATATTTTATTTTTGTTTTGTATACTTTAATTAAGCACACTATAATTTTCTGCGCACGGCATCTTCGCTTCTCATGAACATTTTTTTAACTCTCTCTCTCTCTCTACAATTTTGAAGAAATGTTTCTAGTAAATTTCTACTTTTATATATATTTACATACACATAATAATATTTTCAATGAACAGTATTTTCACTATGCTTTAATGAAATATTATCATTACCTTTTTATCACCTCTCTCTCTCTCTCTCACTCTCTCTCTCTAATAATATTTCATTAACTTTCAATTGAAAATTTCTAATATAAATCTTTTTAATTAATCTCAACGTTTTTTTTTTTTTTGTTTAAAAACACATAATTTTCTATACGAAATTGCATATAAGATAAAAAAATGTAAAAGTTGTGTATCAACACTATCATCCTTAACTTTTTCAATCCATGAAATTGAATTCCACAATCTATTTGAAGTAAACATAAATACTTCGTTAAAAGATGACGTAAAGATTATTTATCATTAATTCTATCCTTTACCTTTTTAATAGATTATCAACTTTACTCTCTCGCGAGGTACTCACGCGCGTCACGTTTCACAATTCAATTAGCTCAGGCAGGGGATATCGACGTCATTCGTCTCGGCGTGCACACGCCGCACACCATTGCCGTTCTCCAGGTGCGTAGACGTTCTCAAACCAGTTTTCGATATTACGTGTTTGCCTTTTCTAATCCGCAACACACCGTTAAATCTTGATTCCAAGTGAGAGAGAAAGAAAGAAGGAAAAACATTCCCTTCTTCCTTTTACCTATCCCCCATATCTCTCTTTCTCTCTTTCACTCTTTTCTATAGAAACCAATAATCTTGTCTTCTTTTTATTATTATGCAATAATCGGTGGAATTTCTCTATATAATATATTACTTATAAAAAGAATAAATATTTAACATGAAAAGAAAAAAAAAAAACCATGGATAAACGTAAATATGTTTACGTTTTTCTATTAAGAAAAAAAACTTTGTTTTTTTAAATCTTCTTTTTTGTCTTTATTTCTTCGGATAATAAAGAAACACTTTCGTTTAGGTTTCTATCTCTATCTCTATCTCTTTCTTGTTAGGAATAGTAGTAAGTATAAATGTGAAGAATGCGTGTGTATGTGCGTGGGTGAGTTTGAGCGTACGCCTGAGTCAGCTCGCGTGTTGTATTGGCCCTCTGCACGGTCGTGGCCAAAGGATTCTCTGAATGAACTCTAAAGATAGATCCCCTATGTTCTCACTCTCTCTCTCTTTCTATCTATCTATCTTTCTTTCTTTATCTTTATCTTTCTCTTTCTTTATCTCGATCTTTCTTTCTCATTCGTTCATTGGTTAGTTCTTCTTGTTTTCTTTTTCATCTTCTAGTCCCTTCGAGTCAGCCGCCGAGCACGTATCGTACCATGGGATCGCAAGAGTGTTGTTCCTTCTTCGATCTCTTATATTCTTTGTCTACTCTATCCTTTTTTATTTTTATTTTTTAATGATTGTCTTTTTATTTCTTTCTATCTATCAAAAATGTTTTTACAAATTTCGTTCATATGTTGACTTATCGTCCGAAAAACGCAACACTATATATTAATGAATAAATAAATATAAATATATATAATATTATTAA